CCGAGCTCCGGGCCCGGCGGCCGCCGCAGGCCCCGCGGTGGCTCCGCGGCCTCCCCGCGGCCCCGTGGGGGGAGGCCGGGCCCCGCGGGGTGTTTTTCTCCCGCATTAAATGCTCCGTTGGGGGGGGGTCTCGGGAGCCCCGGCTGCACCCGGGGCCTTTGAGCATCGCCCTGAGCCCCCAGTGAGCGCCCAAATCCTGGGAATGTCGTGGGAAGGACGGGGCCCCCCTTCCCTCATAACACCAGGAGCAGAAGCCATGCGTGGATCCCGCAGCAAACCAGGCCGTGAATCTCCACACCAATCTTTCTTTTTCTTAACCCAAATGGGGCATCGCGGCTGCCACCGCGCAGCTGTCCCGAATCCGGCACAGACCTCATCTTCCCCCTCATTTTGCAGCCCCGAGCAGGCTGGTGTAAACCCGGAGCCCCCCGGCACCGCCGGCCTGGGATTTAACCGGCTGCTCCATTCCATCCTCCGCGGGTGGATGGGAGGGCGGACGGACACATGGAAGGATGTGGGGAGCCCCCCGGTATCTGCAGACCAGCTCCCCGCTCCCATCCTGGCCGCCCTGAGGCCTCTCCATCGCCTATAGTGCGCCTATGTGCACTATATGCACTATGTGCATAGGGTATAGTGCGCTTACATGCGCTATATCCTATGTCCTTATGTGTGCACTTGTTTTAATTCCTGCTCCGCGGCGCGTGCGGGAGAGACGGGGGTTCCCTCTAGCGGAAAGCGACGGCTGAGGCCGGGGAGGATGGCCCCGGGCAGCAATAAAAGGATTATGGCCCTATTTGAAAATTAACCCGTTTCTACAACTTAATTAGAGGCGAATATCGCGCCGCTCCCTCGACCTGTGCCGAGCCCGTATGGGCTGTTTACTTCCTCTTAGCGTAAATAAAGCAGAGGCGAGGCGGGTATTTTTGTAAGCTTTGCAGGTGTTTTTTAAAATGACTTCAGCTGGTTTAAAACAGCATCACGCACCTGTGACCGGGCACAAAGTATGGGAGAAAACAGGAAATGGGAGAAGAGGTGGCTCCAGTAGCGGCGCTGAGCAGCGTTGCCTCACTCGGATCAGTCAAACGTGTGCAATAACGTGCAATACAAACGGAGCAGCTGCTAAACTGGGAGCTCTTTTCATAATATCAAGCTCTGATATAAAAAGACCTCGCTCTGCCTGTGCTGTCTTGCCGCTGGGGGAAGCTGGAGCTCCTCTCCTGCTTTCTGCCCGAGATGCAAGGCACAGGAGCAAAGTTGGGCAAAACCTCCTGCTTCTAGATATGCCCTTGAGCAGGATGGTAAAAGGATGTGTCGGGATGGTGTCGGAGCTGGATGCTCCCCATCCAGCTTTTATGGATAAGAAGAAAGCTGGGTGCTCTGATCCAGCTTTTTATGGATACAGGAGGAGAGGACAGGTGTGAAGGGAGGCAAGGCTTTTCACCAGGGTACAGCGTGGCTTGTGATTCCATAGGAATTCCACAGGAATCCTGTAGGAATCCCATAGGAATGGGGCTTGCTGATGGCTGGCGAGAGAGGAAGGAGCTCATGGGGATCTCCTGGCCTTCAAGGATATTAAAATATCCTGCAAAATGCCCTGCTGCTCGTCCAAGTGCTGATGTCGTTGGGAAGAAAAGGAGCCTATGGAGCAAGCCGGCTGTTGGTGCCAACGCAGGACCTTGCTTTGCTATCAGGAGAAGGGGGCCACAATGAAGTGCACCCACCAGCAGAAAGCCCCCAGGGGAATCCCATAGGATTCCCCATAGATTCCCCATAGGATTCCCGTAGGAATGGGGCTTGCTGATGCCTGGCTTTGCCCAAGTTTTGTGTCTCCGGAAGAAAGCGTCCCTGGCAAAGCTGGCCCAGGCGCTCGTCGAAGGCCTCCGCGAGCCTCCCCGATGGCTCCTGCCCTGCCCTGGGCTCCGTGCGGGTTAACGGGCAGCGAACTGCAGCCCAGCAAGGCCGTTGCCTGCGGGATTCGCTGCAATCCACCGCTGCCCGGCTGCGGAGGGGAAACTGTGCAAGGATTAGCGGAAAATTCCGGGGATGCGACGCGCGGCTGACGCGGAGCTCGCCTGCCCTCTAGTGCCCCGTGCTCCTCCGAGCCGCTTCCCCAGGCCTCGGCCTGGACTTTGCTGGTGGCTTTTGGGCTGAGATTGGATATATTTGCTGCCCCTTGCAGAAATGCTGGCAGATGCAGCCGCTCTCCTCCCGAAACAGCTTGGCTGTGATGAACGGCCAGGGCTGAGGGGGTCAGTGCAAAAGGTGCAAGAGGTGCCAAAAAAGAAGTTATGGAAGCAAACAAAGCAAAGCCACCAGATCCTCACCTCCCATTCCTGCGTGTAACTCCTCTGAGTCAGAGGAGGCCTGAAACAAAGTCTGTAAGAGCAAAAAGCCCAAGTGAGAGACCTTGATTTCGGGCACATCCCCATTTCCAGTCACTTAGGTAACCCAAGGCCAGGGTGCGGGACGAGCTGCTCGGCCCGGGGCTGCCAGGCAGGCAAAGGGCACGGGGGTGAAGGGAGGGAGGCAGAAGAGAAGGGAGATGGATGGGCAGACGTGTCCCCTGCAGCGGTGACGGCCGGGACACCCGTGCCAGCCACTCACTTGGTCAGCCAAGCGGGACGGCTGATGCTGACTGTAGAGGGCAGCAGACCACGCTGCATGGGACCTGATTGTTTTGTTTTATTTTATTTTATTTTATTTTATTTTATTTTATTTTATTTTATTTTACTTTATTTTACTTTATTTTACTTTATTTTATTTTACTTTATTTTGTTTTATTTTATTTTATTTTATTTTATTTTATTTTATTTTATTTTATTTTATTTTATTTTATTTTATTTTATTTTATTTTATTTTATTTTTTATATATTTTTTTATTTTATGTCTGTTTTTATTTTGTTTATTTTTGTTGGAAAAGAAGTAACTCGGGAGCAATTCTTTGGGCTCACCCCGCTGATGCAGAGGCCGGTGGAACCGAGCACGAAGGCTCAGAGGAAATCCAGACCCTGCGCTTATTAAAAAGGAAAACGTATAAAGAGGCAGAGGAAGAGCAATTCACAGCTTCTGCCACCCTCCTGCACACTTAAAGTTATTAGGAGGGTGAGGAGGGAACACACGAGGGCCATAAAGGTTCATTCTCCGGCTTAATCTTCTCCTTCAGCTGGGGGCTGTATTTCAGGGTGGAGAAATGAGCGTGTGAATCACTGCAAAATCTATGTTGGCGCGGGCTGGGGAGGCCTCCAGCGCCCGCGGGGCTTCTGCGGGCGCTTGCCCCGTGCTCTGGCCTTGCCGGGCTCGTGTCGATACCTCGTCCTCCTGGGCGCTATCGACGGAGTGACCGGTGGGTATTTCAATAAGGGTCCGTGGGGGGATGTGGAGGGTCCAGGGTTTGGCTGCTGATGGTGCCGAGCGAGCCATGAATCCGGCCCTGCTGTTCCCGAAGTTCCAGAGCCACCCAAGGCCCCGCTCCGTCTGCCCCATCCAGGCACCCGCTAGCCCCGGGGCTCTGCTCCTGGGCACGGGTAGGGTGGAAAGAGCCCAGGGGATGGTGCATCCCACGCGGATCCTTTCCGCTCGTAATTTCCAGAAGGTCCATGGCCATGCCCGGGGGATGGCTTGGACATCAGCTAGTGCTGCTTCATGTCAGAAAGTGAATACCCTCCACGGCAATCCCTCTCTTTCAGCTTTGGAGGAGCGATGGGTCCACAAGGAAAGCCCTGGCTGCAGCTTCCCACAAGGATCTAAGGAGCTCCGTGTCCCGAGCGGCTTCATTGCCACTCACATCCACCTCAGAGGAGCAGTTCCTGGAGGGCAGGACACAAACCCAGCCCATGGCCACGGGACCTCTCCATAGACAAGTGTTTTTTAACAATCTTGTTTTAATTCCAGGTCATTTTCCACGGATGCCTGACCCTTCCTCCTTCACACTTCGGAGCCAGCAGAAGTTGAAGGTGACCCAAGTTGCTCCCTGCAGAAAAGAGCAAAACCAAAAGGAAACAAAAAAGGAAACCAAAATCAATATTCCAAAGACAAAAAAAATAACAATTGTGTTACGGAGAGGTCATCCAGAGAAGATGTAATGGGACATGACAGGCCAGCTCTCCGCTGTCCTCCCTGTGCCAAACCCGGGTGGGGAGACCTTGTTCCCAAGCCAAAGCGTCACCACCCACGTCATGAGGGCATCCTATGGTTCGGGCAACTGCCCGCGGACGCAGGAACCCGGGAGGATGAGAAGGGAGCCTGAGAGAGCTGGAGGTTGGAAACGGGAGGATTTGCAGGGCAGGAAGGGGCTGAACTCGCTGCCCGCTGCTGGGCACGGCCCCGCTCACAGGTGTTTCAGCATCCCAAACGTGGGACACGGAGCCCTGATAACGGTGCCAACTTCAATCCGTTGTTTCACAGCCCAGAGCGCCTCCCTGCATCGACACGCTGGCACTGATGGGTTGTTTAGCAGAGATTTTCCTCCTTTTTCTTTATTTTTTTATTCACCTTGACCTCCTGATTCTGGGAATTTTGTTAGATTCTTTTCTCTTTCCTTTTTCTCCCTCCACAAGTTCGCAGCAGGGCTATAGGCTTTGCAGAAAGCCCATTCATCAACGACGCTCACGCTCTCTCCAGCGAAGACTGGAAAAGCAGGAACGCAGCATTCCCGGCACCGCGGGCCTGGGAGGCAGCTCCGTCCCCCGCACCTGGCCCGGGGGTGACCTTCAGCTCCACAAAAAGCTGCTTTTCCCC